ATTATTATCCCCATCCCAGCTTGTGCCGGGCTCTGGGCGATGTACAGCAAAGGCATCAGGCCATTAATTAAATATTAAAAACATTTTAAAAATCCAGTTCTAACAAAATTAGAATGACAAATTTAAAAAGCAGGTTTAAAAAGTTCCAGACGGCTTCCTTAACATTTCATCCCAGTTCTGGACTGCCTGGCCATTTTCTGGGCACGGGGAGAGGAAACACGGGATCAGAATTTAGGGGGAGGGGCAAGGGAGATGGTGGCAGCCACGATAGAAAACCATCGCTGTCCTCAACCGAAAGCCTGGTGGAACATCTCTGCCTTACAGGCCCTGCGGAATGGCATAAGCCCCCGCAGGACCTTGATGGTATTAGGCAGAGAGTTCCACCAGGTTGGGGCCAGGGTTTGATTCCCCATTCCTCCGCATGCAGCGGCTGGGTGACCTTGGGTCAGTCACAAGTTCTCTCAGAGCAGTTCTCTCAAGAGCAGTCCTCGAAAGAACTCTCTCAGCCCCACAGGGTGTCTGTTGTGGGGAGGGGAGGGGAAGGGAAGGTAAGCCACTCTGAGACTCCTTCGGGTATAAATCCAAGCTCCTCCTCATCCGAGACCAACAAGATTTTGGGGGGTTAAGCAGTCAAAGCTCCCTTTATCAGCTTAAACCCCCAAAATCTGGCAACTGGACTTCTTGGCTTTGACTCTTGAAAGTTGATACCCTGAAAACCTTGTTGGTCTCTGAGGGGCTAAAAAGGTAAAGGTTTTCCTTGTTCGAAAGCCAGTCGAATCCGACTAGGGGGCGGTGCTCATCTCCATTTCCAAGCTGACGAGCCAGTGCTTTCCAAAGACATTTCCATGGCCATGTGGGCGGCATGACTAGACGCCGAGGCGCACGGAACGCTGTTACCTTCCCACAGAAGCGGTGCCTATTTATCTGCTTGTGATTTCTTGCTTTCGAACTGCTAGGTTGGCAGGAGCTGGGGCCCGAGATGGGAGCTCACTCCGTCACGCAACACTCGGGTCTTGAACTGCCGAACGACAGACTTTCCGGTCTGCGGCTCAGCGTCATAACCCCTGAGCCACCGCAGCCCTCTTCCCTCCTAGGGACTAATTTCCCCAGTGGAAGCGGAGAGTACAGAGGCTTACTGGGTCTGCTGGCCCACCACTTGGGGGTGGAAGGCGCCGTCAAGCCACAGCTGACTTATGGCAACCTCGTGGGGTTTTCAAGGCAAGAGGCGTTCAGAGGTGGTTTGCCAACTGCCTGCCTCCGCATCACGACCCTGGTATTCCTTGGAGGTCGCCCACCCAAATACTGTCCAGGGCCGACCCTGCTTAGCTTCCGAGATCGGACAAGACTGCGCTAGCTTGAACTCTGCAGGGCAGCCCATCACTTTCTGACTTCCCTTTACATCATTTTTATGCGGCTGATATGCCTTTTTATATCATTTAACTCAACTTTATTTCGGCTTGCATGACCAAAAGTCTTGAGCACACATGTACACACTTATAAAGTACCATTCATACATAAATATATAAAAAGGAGAAAGAAAAAAAAACCCAGTGAGATACATTGTACAAATATGAATGTGTTACACTAAATGGGATCGTCAGACAGAGTAAATCCTCAAAAAGGTACACAGAGCAAAAAATCAGAAAGATTTAGACTTTCCCGTCCTTTCCCCTTTTTTTTTGTTTGCCACCAGGGCCAGAAACGTGGCTACTGCTTTGGTAACTGAGTTATCAACTTGATCAGATAAGAGAACAGAAATTGACCAGGGCAGGGAGGGAAGCTTTTCTTTTATCAAGATGGGTATAATATACTTCTGCCTCTCCATATTCCAGTTGGGGCAAGCTAGCAAAATATGATCCATCGTCTCCACCCTACCTTGATTACAATCGCATGTCCGTTCAGAGAACGTTATATCATTTATAAGTTATATACTGTTTATATGCAAAAATAGAAGAGGAGGAGGAGGAGGAGGAGATTGGATTTATACCCCGCCCTTCACTACCCGGAGGCTTTCCATCTCCTTCCCTTCCCCTCCCCATAACAGACACCCTGTGAGAAGAGAGAAGGAGAAGACGAGATCGGATTTATACCCCGCCCTTCGGCCGGAGTCTTGGAGCAGCTTACAATCTCTTGTCCCTTCCCCTCCCCACAACAGACACCCTGTGAGGTAGGTGGGGCTGAGAGAGCTCTTTTGAGGACTGCCCTTGAGAGAACAGCTCTGAGAGAAGAAGAAGGAGAAGAAGAAGAGATTAGATTTATACCCCACCCTTCAGCCGGAGTCTTAGAGCGGCTGACAATCTCCTGTCCCTTCCCCTCCCCACAACAGACACCCTGTGAGGAAGGTGGGGCTGAGATAGCTCTCTTGAGAACTGCCCTTGAGAGAACAGCTGTGAGAGAAGAAGAAGAAGAGGAGATTGGATTCATACCCCGCCCTTCACTACCCAAAAGTGTCTCAGAGCAGCTTACAAACACCTTTTCCCTTCCCCTCCTCACAACAGAAACCCTGTGAGGTAGATGGGTCTGAGAGAGCTCTTGACAGAAACTGCTCTTTTTCAAGAACAGCTCTTATCAGAACTACGCCTTGCCCAAGGTCATCCAGCCAGGTGCACGTGGAGGAGTGGGGAATCAAACCCGGTTCTCCCAGATTAGAGTCTGCACTCCTAACCACTGGTGTAATAAAAATTGCATTCAGTTTGATAGGAAAACTTTGGTGTGAGGAAAGGGAAACCGATGCCAAGACAGAGACTCTTGGGTTAATTTCCCACAAGCGAGATATGAAATCAAAAGCCCCATGTTCGGATTCAACCACCTCGCTTTCGAAATTCAGTGCATTCCTAATTCTGGTGTCCATATTGCGCATTCCAGCTGCAACCAGCACCTCTCATTAATGTATCAGCGCCGGATCCGCGCATTAATGTGCATCAGTTGCTTTCTCAGGGAAAAATGCTCCATGCGCATCAGCGAGGCCGATGTTCTGCAGGCTTTCTGTGGGCTCCCGAGTACACGAGGTGGCGAAGTGGAAAACAGAGTGGATGGAAAATGACAGTTTCTCACATCTCTGCTTTGAAACGTCTCATTGATTTCACTGGGAGACATAAGCAGCTGCTGAACTCGCTGCAGCCGAGCGGACTGGAAAGTGCTTAATTCGAGTTGGATCACTCTCCAAACGCCTTTTAGGAAATGAGGAGTGGAAGTGGATGTGACGGCTTCTAAATTTAAAGCATCCGAAGCGCTCCAAATTCAGAGCGTTAAGAAGCTGAAACCGCAGGTATGCCTGGCCTTCTGGTTTCAGACACAGTACGGGTCTGGCAGGGACA